TATATATATTTTGAGAAATGCGTAGTTGGGTTTAAACTGATCTGGTAGCTAACAATTTACTTTTTAGGGTTGAAGTTGCATAAATAATTTCTTTTTGTTTCTAGCTGCTTTGAAAAGCGTGGGAAAGCAAAAGGAAACTAGAATTTGAATATTGGAAATTTAGTTTTTTGTTTGGAAATGGAAAATTCACCTTAATTCAGCAACTAGGATTTATGATTTTCTTTCTAAAATTTTCTTACCTTTTCTTGGAAACCAAACGGGGCAGTTTTGTTTGGTCGTTGGGAGGTAAGTGGCTTTCGTTTTCATGGTACATCTTGTTTAAAAAAAAACTGTTCTCTATGCTTCCTTCGGAAATCGTTTAAAGTTGCCAAAGTAGCTAGCTTTTGTGTCATCTTCACTTCCTTCTATGATTTTTGATGTATTTAAACAAAATAGTTTCAAATTTAAATTAATGGATTCATGTTTCTTCAAAATTTGTAACTACCTCTTGCATTTCTGATGTTATTTTTTAAATAGAAAATACAATTTTAGAGTGGAAAGTGATAATTTTTAAATGCTTTACAGGTTAGGGCCATTAATTCAAGATGGAGCCATTGTCACAAATTTTGAGCTTTTAGTTTTTCGTTTTTGAGATTTTCTGGTTTAGAAGCTAAACAATGCCATTTGAGATCATGGATCAAAGGAATGCATCGGCATCATCCCACTTTTTTGAAGACCTCCGTTTTCCAGCTGAGGTAGTTTACGACATAATACACCGAATTTTTTATACTTTCATTTCTCTTTTGAGTTTATCAGTCTGGGTCTTTATTTCTTGTTTTAGACCATATTGTAGGGTTCTTGTATGTGCCTTTTTTACAATTGTGATAATTTTTTTTATCTTAAAACTTTAAGTCCCTAGTACCAGAAAACAATAATTCATTTTGTGTTGCTTTAATGTCAACTTCTGTTGGGCAGAGACAAATTGGATTTTGGAAGCCAAATACCATGTCCGATAATCAAGGTGAGAACAGTGCTATGGACAACTGAACTGCTGGTTCTGTCTGCTGCTAATCCGTTTATTTGAATGCATTGACCGTTTAAACTGCCTGTCAATTTCTTGTCAGTAGGCATACACCATAAGAATGGAACTTTTAGCCTTTGTCATTGTTAAACATAGTAAATGATCAATTTGGTCTCTTGATTACTGCAAGAAAAGCTGTGGCCTCTGACTTAGTAATGACATGTGGGAAGTATTTAAGAACCATAATTAGCCTTTACTATTGAGTGAATAATCCAAAAAGATTGATCTGATAACTGGGTGGTTCCAATTGTTATGTTTTGTCTGTATCAAAAGGATTCTTGAGTGCATCAGTCAAAAGTTAAGTGTATTTACAATTGTGTGCCAATTCAGGCGGTATTAGAGTATACAAAAGACTATAGTCACTCCAAAATTTATCACGGAGATGTGGAGTACTTGCTTTGAAGGATTTGTCAAAAGAATGCAGCAATCAGCTTGATTTATCAATGGATTATAATGTGTTGAAATACCTGATCATTGAGGGTGCTTCTGAATTATCTCCTCTGCCTGAAGCGCTAAATTACTATTTTTATTGGGATTGGGAGTTTGTCATCCATATTGTTGTAATTTTGTTTGATTGTGCTAAATCAGTAGATGTGAGTTTCATGTGAGAAGTGCTTTTGTGCATTGCTGCAGATATATTATAGATTGACTTCTGTCATATTATTTTTAAAAGTGTCTGAAATACCTTGGTATGATTAAAAGTCAAAAGTTGGCGTCCATTTTATTGTTTTTCCCCTTTTGAGAGTGCTGTATTTATTGTCTGAATTCACCCCTAGAGATTTTTCTTGGGACATGGATTTTGTTCCATATAGATAGCATTGCATATCAACCTGGATTAATTTAGTAAGGCGTCTTATTTTTGAATATTTTCTTTTTTGTTTCTTGCCTTGTGGAATTTTTGTTGGTGTTACATGTAGAACTTTGGGATTCATTCCTAATATCTTCCCGTCTTTTACTCTGTGGTTCCTACAATTTTGAAACGCCTTTTTACAGATAAGGGAAAAAAAAATAGTTTGCATATAAAGACATCTTACCTAGAAAGCTCAGATTTTTTAAATGAGAACCTTTCATGTGCTTGTATGAAAAAGTTGTGCATGATTATCTTCCTGTCTGTTTATGTTAAAAATCTTCTGGTCTTTGCAGATAAGTTGGTTGGTTCATCTCCATCGGAAAAACTGTCTGCTGACTGCATGGAACTTCCTCCGTCTAATCTGGCCAGAGATCAAGAAGAAAAGTTAGGCATTGGTTGGAAGGGAATTACCAATTTGTCTGAGCCTTCATGGAATTCTTTGAATCATCATCCAAAATCATTGTCAAATCTGTACACGCAACCAGCAGTGAACTTTAATGGAAACAGCACCAATCTCAATGTGATCCAGCATGAAAGTAGTCTGTTTTCAAGTTCATTGTCTGAAATTTTTAGTAGAAAGTGTAAGTGCTTTTATCTATGTCTATCAAGCTTATGTACATGTGTATTGGTGTGTGTACTCGTGGTGTAAGTGTTTTTATCTATGTCTATCAAGCTTATGTACATGTGTATTGGTGTGTATACTCGTGCGTCAACATGCACGGACATTCTATGTTTGCACTGTTTCTCTATTGCTTTTCTAATATCGGATGCTTTAATTGATATAGCATTTTATAGCTTTGTTGATGACTCTATAAATTTCCTACCATATCATGTGAACATTTTTCCAAGAAAGTATGAAACTTTTTTATTAATTAATCATGCCCTGATGATCCATTTTATTAATCTGTTCACAAATATATTTCTGCATTTTCACTTTTCTCTACCAAAGGTTCTTGAATTAATTGAGACATTTTCCCGTCAAATGGACTGAAAATTAGAGCTAATACCTATAGACTGTGGCTGCATTTTTTTTTTCCTGTTTCTGCTGGTCACTCACCGCCTTTTCTTGATTACAGTATAATTGATAAATTTTTTTATCTGTGATTTGCTTTGCTTTTATCTTTATGCAGTGAGATTATTGGGGAACGATGTATCTTGTCAACATGCCAATAAAGGTGGTTCACACAATGAGGAAGAACCTTTCAAATCTATGGAAGAAATTGAGGCGCAGACTATCGGAAATCTCCTCCCTGATGAAGATGATCTCTTCTCTGGTGTGATTGATGAATTGGAACTTAATGCTCATGCCAGCAAAGGAGATGAATTAGAAGATTTTGACCTATTCAGCAGTGGTGGAGGAATGGAATTAGAAGGGGATGATCGTTTATCCATGGGTCCAAGGAATTCTGATCTCGTTGGAGTATTCAATGGTCAAGGGGGTTCCAATGGGTCAATTGTTGGTGAACATCCATATGGTGAACATCCTTCTAGGACACTCTTTGTCAGGAACATTAATAGCAATGTCGAAGATTCAGAGTTAAAGGCTCTATTTGAGGTTTGTGTACCTTTTCTATTTGTTACACTGTTTATTGAGACTTTGTGCAAGCAAACCTTCATCCATCCACTCTCCTTTTAAATGGGTACATGTTCCAGTAAGTTAAATTGACAACCTGTTTCCTTCTGTCAGCAATATGGAGATATCCGAACTCTCTATACTGCCTGCAAGCATCGTGGGTTTGTTATGATTTCTTATTATGATATAAGGGCAGCCCGAAATGCAATGAGGGCTCTGCAAAATAAGCCGTTGAGGCGTAGGAAACTTGATATACATTATTCAATTCCAAAGGTGTGCCTTCAACCATTATGTTCTGGATGGCTACTGTCTGCTATTGTTGTTATTACCATCACTGCTCTTAGTACCTTTACTTTGTCTAATTTGTTGATGCATCTTCATTTGGCCTGTTGCTGCTTTATTTAGTTATTTTTTAAAATTTTATAATTCCCCAGGATAATCCATCTGAAAAAGATGTAAACCAAGGGACACTGGTGGTTTTCAACCTTGATTCTTCTGTTTCAACTGATGAGCTTCAGCGAATATTTGGTGCTTTCGGAGAAATTAAAGAAGTAAGGGATTCATTTAATTTTTTTCAGCTTCACAATTCTCCTTATATTTTGGTGTCTGAAGCATGTGGTTCATTTGCATTGTAGGTTCGTGAGACTCCACACAAGCATAGTCACAAATTCATCGAGTTTTATGATGTTAGAGCTGCAGAAGCTGCTCTTCATGCATTGAATAGGAGTGACATTGCTGGGAAGCAGATCAAACTTGAACCAAGCCGTCCAGGGGGTGTTAGGCGGTACTATCATTGACTTGTTCTGCTATCTTTCCAACCTTTTTTTTTTTTTTGCTGTTTTTAGATTAATCTTAGCTTTTGAATGGAATCTGGGACCTTTGTAATTTCCCCTTTTCTGTGATCCTGGCTCCTGAAAGTGGGAATTTTGTTTAGTACTTTGCTTCTGCCTTATTTGGCTGTATGGAGTTGGTCAACAATGTGCAATTAATTTCCTGGATGCCTAATATGCTTTTTGTGCATTTGAGTTGTATGTCATTCTTTATTGTTAGTTTTTTTTGCCTCTGTAAATAGTGATAAATCAAAGTTACTTTGCAGTTTTATGCAACAGTCCGAGCAGGAGCAAGATGAACCTAGCCTATGTGAAAGCCCTTTTGATGAGTTATCTTCAGGACACATTGGTATGCTTTTGCCTGTGAATTTTGCTGTCTGATCAATCCATTTTAAGCTGTTGTTTGACAGCAAATGTTTGTGTTCCTTCATACATTATGATTCATTGTGACAATTTCTCCAGGAGTAATTGTATCTGGCTGCATGGATAATGGATCTACCCAGGTTTTACATTCAGTTATCCAGTCACCTGTGAGTTCGTTTGTTGAACCTAATCGAAGTTCTAGTGTTCCGATTAACTTAGCCTCTCCAGCAAGAGTGGCACCTATAGGCAAACAATTAAGTCTTCGGGAGCCCAACCACTCTCTGGATGATATGAAGTTTGCTAACCAAAGTGTTCCAAGTTTCCATCCTCATTCCTTTCCTGAGTACCATGATAGCTTAGCCAATGGTACTCCATTCAACTCCTCAAGTACTATAACAGACATGGCTAGCAGTGTTGGTCCCATGATGACTGGAGGACTTGACAATAGGCACATTCGCGCAGCAAGTTCTAATGGGCACCTGATGGAACCTAATACAGGGCGTAAGTTCTGCTGATTATGATATCCTATATTAATTGAAAAATGTTTTCCTGCATCTTTGTTGCATTCAGTTATGGATTCATAGTTTCATTATTCATTATGTTAAAATTGTGATAAATTTCACAATTCATTATGTTTGAAAGTTGTGGGTAAATTTAATTCTACGTTTTATTCTTGAATTGAATTCTGTTTCTTAGGCTTAGATTTTACTCTCTTGTTTTGCCTTTCTCTCTGACTTTGTGTTGCTAATAAAATCTCTCTAGTTTTTGGGTCATCTGGAAATGGAAGCTTGTCACTTAATGGAAATCATTACATGTGGAACAACTCCAACTCACACCAGCAACATCCATCAACTGCCATGGTTTGGCCAAATTCGCCATCATTTGTCAATGGCATTCATGCTAATCGCCTTCCTCACATGCCTGCATTTCCTAGGGCACCTCCTGTAATGTTGAATGTAGGATCACCTGTACACCACATTGGTTCAGCACCTCCGGTTAATTCTGCATTCTGGGACAGGCGGCATCCTTATGCTGGGGAGTCTCCTGAAACTTCTGGTTTTCACCTGGGATCTCTTGGAAGTGTGGGTTTTCCTGGTAGTTCGCCATCACATCCTGTGGAAATTGCGTCCCACAACATTTTTTCTCATGTTGGTGGAAATTGTATGGATTTGACTAAAAATGGTGGGGTGCACTCCCCTCAGCAGATGTGCCACCTTTTCCCTGGCAGGAACCCTATGATTTCAATGCCGGCATCTCTTGATTCACCTAATGAACGAGTTAGAAACTTCTCACATCGTAGAAATGAATCAAATTCTAGTAATGCTGATAAAAAACAATATGAACTTGATATTGACCGTCTCATACGCGGGGAAGACAGCAGAACAACGCTTATGATTAAAAACATACCCAACAAGTATGTGAACTGCTCTTCATGCAAATTTTATCTTTTTTTTTTTCCTTATTTCTTGTATCGTGAGTTGTTCTTTTTACTATTAAAAATGATTTTTGCTGCACAGTATTCTCTATCTGTTTAACCTGTCTTATGCTTGAACAAATTTGCTTGATGAATTACCTTTAACTTGTAGACATCCTGATGGTATTTAGCAGCACTTTGCCTTTAAAATTTTCCTCCAAATTGGTGCAACTAATGGTGGGCCACCAATTTGTTTAAATTGGACTACCTGACACTAAATTTGACCATGCCTAGGTATAAGTCAAAGCGAATTTGTATACGTGGTGAATACTTAAAATAAATTACGTGAAATTATGCTAGTGCTCACTAGTTTTATTGATTGCATCCAATATTATAGCTCATTTCATTCTGTAAATATTCCTTTGTTCTCCATATGTCTCTTCTTTCACATGATCATCACCTTAAAAAACAAGTCAAATGGTGATTTTTGCAGGTATACCTCAAAGATGCTTCTGGCTGCTATTGATGAGCACTGTCGAGGAACTTATGATTTTATTTACTTGCCAATTGACTTCAAGGCAAGTAACTTAATTGGTCAATCAACCATTTTATTGATACAATAATTCATGCTTGGACATGCCACATGTAATTGAAATTGACTGTACTGCTAACCCAAGATTTTACAACTATTATCTACAGAACAAATGCAATGTGGGCTATGCATTCATCAACATGATCGATCCACAACAGATCATTCCTTTTCATAAGGTTTGTACATGGATGATATGTCAGAGTAATATCTATTGTTTATGCAGATATTGTCATCTGCAGGTGTAGTTGTGTACTTAATTATTATTTTGATAAATAAAACAAAGCTAACCAGGTTAAAACTAATACATAATTTCAGGCATTCAATGGCAAAAAATGGGAAAAGTTCAATAGTGAAAAGGTGGCATCTCTTGCATATGCTAGGATTCAGGGAAAGGCTGCTCTTATTGCTCATTTCCAGAATTCAAGCTTGATGAATGAAGATAAACGTTGCCGTCCTATTCTCTTTCATACTGATGGCCCAAATGCTGGTGATCAGGTGGGTTATATTGATGCACCCCATGAACAAGCTCAATGTAATTTTTTATCTTGTTTTCTGAAATGTATTATGTAGATTTACTCGTGCAGCTTTCCCTACTTTTGTGTCTGTAATTGAGAGGACGTTTTGATTATATAACTCCTACTTTCTTTTCTATTTAGGAGCCCTTTCCTATGGGTGCCAATATCCGATCAAGACCAGGGAGACTACGAACTGGCAATGAGGAGAACCACCGCCTAGGTTGTTCTTCAACTTCAGCTAATGGGGAGGAATTTTCCAATGGGGCAGACTTGTTGTTGGGTTCTTCCAAGGATTCTGATTAAGCAGTCTGCTTATCCAGCTCTAACTTTAAATACCATTTTGGAGTATCAAGACTTTATCCACCCTACTCTGTCTTTTGAGGGTGGCCTGATAACTCTTTTTTGGTCATAGAGGAGCAGTTTTGGGAACCAAGATGCATAACTGAAACTAAGTGGTACTTGACAGATTTTGTCGTTCTATGGAATTTTTTTTTCTGTATCAAAGCCCACTATGAGTATAGAGACTGGCGTAATGGGGGCTTCAAATTTTGGATAGTCTTGACCGAGCAGTATCATGATGTATAGAAGTTCCTGGGCTTATGCATGACTTGAGGGATCATTTTTTCTTTTTGTTTCAGTTTTGTATCCCGAGTTATGTGATTTCATTTTTGTCCCTAACGTTTTGGAATCCCTACGAGTCCTGCTTTTGGTCTAGGTGGGGTGTGATTGCTCAAAGAGAGAGAGACACACACAACATATCTATATATTTTAGTCGTGGAATTTTTGAACTTCTTTTGTTTACCTTTAATGAAATATGTTCCTTTTCACTCCCTCTTGTTGAACCTTAATCGTCTCCTCTTTTATTGTTTAAAGTATACTTTAATGTAAGACCTACTCTTTAGTTTCTAGTGAAGGATGTTCCGGGCCAGAAATGCTTTGTGTGGCAGATTTTTTTATCCTTAGTCCTAGGACCTGGATATGAGAACTGGGTTTTGAAACGTGTAATGCAGGAGAATTAACTGTATAATTTGTGTTTCGGTATTGTCAGATTTAAGTTATTGACAGGTTTTTTACGAGGGTGTTGAAAATGGCAGATGTTCCATGAGCCAAGGGGTCTCTCTGTTTGCGTATGTAACATGCTAAGTTCAGTGTTTACAATCTGGAGGATGATGAGTAGGCCAGCTCTGCCTGCTTTCATGGAAGTTGTCTGTTTGAACTTGGGAGAAGTTTTGAGTTAATCTGATATGAAGATATTTGCTAGAATTTACAACTTTTAGTTGATGAACTGAACTTAAATCAATTTGCTATTATATATGTATGAACTTAAGTCGAATTGGTACTGTATATGTTATTCCGTATGGTAGTGACTAACGACGGCAACTTCACAAACTGTGTACAAAAACAATACCTTTTTATACGGTCCTGTCAAAAAGGAATGGACAAGCCAAAACAGCTTAAACAGAGTACTCCTCCCAGCTCAGTGTTCACCCACTGCAAATGCAGAGAAAATCTTTGTTGTTGCAAATCTGCCAGCTCAACAAGCTCCATTTTCGATTCAATCAATACTCCTTCTTCTCTGACAAAACCCAAAATCTACCTTTGTTCCCCGACAAAAATGACGACCCTCTTTACTCAGACGTGCCCAAGCCACTCACTGACAAGTCTGAGCGGAAACCGTACCCGACACCCATGAAAGAACTGATTAAAAGAGCCAAGCAAGAGAAAGAATTAAGAAAAGCCCAACCCTGTAGATTGCTCGAAAACCCACCCGCCAATGGGTTCGTTCTGGTCCCGAACTCGTCGACGTCGCTCACCGAGTCCACCGAGCTCGTGGATTCCTTCTCTCCGGTTTGTCCAAACTCGTCCGAGTCATGCCGGTTCAACGCTGCAGGTAACTAGGAAAACGCCTTGTCTTTTTTTTTTGGGTTTCGCTTTCTTTAGTTGATTGCTTGATTAGATGGATTGCTAATTTCGGAATATAGAATTTTGTATACATTTTAGAAGAACAAAGGATTTAAGTAAGACATTGATGTTGTCTTTTTCCTTTCTTTTGGGGTTAGATTTTGTTCTGAGGTTCACATTGGCAGTGTGGGTCATGAAATCCGTACTTGTACAGGTCCAGAAAGCGGTTCTAGGAGTGCTACTCATGTTTGGAGAAAGGAGAGGTGGTTGATGTTGTTACTTTCCTAAATGTTTCCATCTCTATGACCGTGTTGGCAAACCGAGGGTTGTTCATGATGAGAGGCATAGTGTCAAGCGAATCCCTGCAGTCTTAGAGCTTTGTATACAAGCTGGCGTAGACATCGAAAAGTACCCTTCAAAGAGAAGAACAAAACCTGTGTATTCTATTGAAGGTAGAATTGTAGATTTTGAGTCAGTGGCGGGAATGGACGAAATAGAGAGCAACTTCATTTGGGAGAATCTTGATGGTTCCGGCACTGGTGAATTGACGAGGGATTCAAACTCGGAGCTAAATGATGAAGAAAAGAACTTGATGGAGTTAAGTATAAGGACTATGGATTCATGGTTTGAAATGATAGCAGGACTGAAAACGATCATGGAGAAGTACAGTGTGTGGACGTGTGGCTATTGCCCAGAGGTTCAGGTTGGTCCTAAGGGACACAAAGTTAGGATGTGCAAAGCCTCGAAGCACCAGTCTCGAAATGGTCTGCATGCCTGGCAAGAAGCGACTGTTGATGATCTTGTTTGGCCTAATTATGTCTGGCATGCTCGCAATCTGAATGGTCCTCCTCAACATAATGATTTGAAGAGATATTACGGTAAAGCCCCAGCTGTGGTGGAGCTATGTGTTCAGGCTGGTGCACCTGTTCCAGATCAGTATAGGAGTATGATGAGATTAGATGTGGTTCCTCCTGGACGCGATGAAGTTGATCTTGTGGCTTGAATCGCTCTTTTGTTCAGATGTATTCCATGCATTATTTAAAGAGCTACTGACATCACCCTTTGGTCCTGGATTACAGCTGAATATCTTTGTTGTATTGGATTTGCAACTAACCGAGATTTGACAACTTGGTCCTCAGGTTTTCAGATGTAAAATGGCATCAGGCGGCTGGGTTCAGGTTGCTGATGAGTTATTTTCATCCTCATATTCTTGAGATGAGCATAAGGGAGCTTTATGGCTCTGTTTGAGCATCACATTTGTTGTAATATAGACCCATTTCATATACCAGGTGGGTTAATTTTCCTCCTCGTAGCTCTCCTTAGTTTTGTAGTTTCTGATGATGTTTCTTTCTCTCGTTTTTGGGGTAAAGGTTAAAAGGAAATTCAAATCATAAAGACATAATTCCTATTATCTGGGGCCTAAGATGTACAGGAATCTTGTTGAATTGGAAGTTCAATGATTCTGAATATTGCTAGTAAAAATTCAAGTCTGCATTCATTTATCTATTTCTGCAGCAAGGCTTTCTTTCTTGCACTATAAATGAAGTTCCTTATGCAAAAGTTGCGGTTGCTTATATGATTAGAGTTAGTCGAAGCTGACTCGAACTCAAAAAATCTGTTCCAATCCGAATATGTCAATTTGATTTGATGAGGAAAAGTTATTAACCTAAATCCGAAACGATAAAGATAACTTGGATTGGAAATGATCGGAATATGAAATTCAAATGATTTCAATTCAAAAATAAACAATCAAAATTTCTTGATCTAAACAGGTAAGCATTTAATTCATTAATTAACATCTATTCCTTATTTAAAAAATATAATTTCGAATCTCAATTGGAGTAGGGCCGATTCAGCATAATAACGGTTGAATGGAGTATATTCCAAAGTCAAGAGCAGCAGTAGTACACATGAGCTGGAGAAAGCATATGCAATTTTTTTTTAACGAATAAATTGACCCTTTTCCTTGTAACCAAAAGGAAAAAAAAAAAGAGAGGAGTTTTCTCTAATTCAGGATTTAATTTAAATTAAAGGATCACTCAACATGCATTTTGGCAGGCTTTCAATGTTATGTACCAGCGTCATATGGTCAGAATTTAATTTATTTTTTCACATTAAACATAGAAATGATTTATTGGGACAACGTGAAAATTGCAAAAAACCAAGAAAAGAAATGATATAACCAACCGCCCTAGTTCTGTCCAACAATAAAAGGAGAAAAAAAGAAAAAAAATAAAAAATAAAAAGAGCGCCCTTGGGGTAAGGAGGCCGAGAAAGGGTGGCGCAAAAGTGAAGAAAAATGAGCGCCAGTTCAACGATTGCGAAGAAAGTGAAGGAAGAAGAAGCAGAAGAAGAAGAAGAAGAAGAAGAAGCAGCAGCAAATGGAGAAGACGAGGACAGCAGAGCGGAGCAAGAAGAGGCATTGGTGGCTTTGATCGAACACCGCACCAAAGAAGTCGAACAACTCCGGCAACGTATCTCCTATTACGATTCTCAGGTTCTTCCATCCGTTTCCCCCCCATCCCACTTCTTTCCTTTTTGTCAATAAAAAATTATGGAAAACAGCAACTTCCTCTTGTTTGATTCTTTCCTGCGACGTTGGGGTTTTCTTTTTAATGTTCGCTTATTCATTGAGGTTTTTCTAATTATATTTCTTGTAGAAATCTGTGTATTTCATTCTAGAAAGTTTCCTCTTTGAACTTCATCCACTTTAGTATTTCACTTCAGGAATTGATAAAATAAGCGATATTGAAGGCAAGGCAAAATGTTGAAATTGATAAAATACACTAACACTTTTCAAAAGAAGTTATCATTAGAGTATAAAGAAAGGGTCTTTTGCTTTCGTCCTTCATTTTCTAATGTATCACTTTATGAGCAAATGCATTCAGATAAATTGTTTTTGGTTGTTGAGAAGTGTATTATAATGATGGTTTGTTTTAATATCGCTTGACGCTTTCAATTGCACATTCATACCAAGCGCTTTGTTTGATTGTTTTGTTCTTCCTGCTTGTTTGACACACAGCTTCATCAAGCAGAGAAGCGGCTGCAAGATTCACAATCTAAATTGGCTCGCCTTCGGGAGCGACATAACAGGGCGTCATCTGGTGGTTCTCTGGCAAATGGAACTAAAAATGTGAAGGTGGAGCCTAGGTCAACCAGTCCTGAACATATCAATGGAGGTTTTAGAAACCAACCTCAGTCAAGAACTGAACTTGTAATCCCTTCTGTGAACCCAAGGAATCCCCAACCTGTAAAATCAGCAGGGTCAGGTACAAAGACTGCCACTGTTTCTGGTCTTGAAGCAAGTGCTGCCTCTAATTGGGCTGTAAAAGCTAAAGCAGAGAAATCTCATAGAAGTTTTACTGATGTGCAAGCTGTTGAAACTAAAGATAGAGGAACTAAAAGGAAGTTTGGTATGGTGCTAACCTCTAACTGGATGCGGTACTTATTTTCATGTTGGATTACAAGAACATTACAAATTTTCTGTTGTATCAGAACAAAAAGAACACAAAGAATTGATTCCCTTGGTACGAGGCAGTTCTTCACCAAACACAATTCGCTATACAAGCAGTCAGATCTCTAGTCAGCACAAAAGAAAGTTAAGAAGTCTTGCTGTATGTCCAGTGAATGATCAGCTCTTTGTGACCAGGTATGCTCTTTGATAAAGGTGGGGGAACATATGCCATTGATTATGTTAAATTTTCATTGTAGTGGCATGATGGAAGGCCCTGCATCTCTTTGTTTCAACTGTTCAGCCTGGGAAATTCCATAGTTTGTTTCTGTTCTACGGGATCTGATTGTGGCTAGTTTCTTGGACTATTTGCAGTGCTTTGGATGGATTAGTCAACTTGTGGCAACTTCAGGCTAGAGGGTACGTTAATGTTTTTGTCCGAACCTGCTATTTACTAGCTGTGTCTGATACGTG